GAACCTCTCTGGTAGGGAAAGGCAGGCTCTGTAGATAGGGACATGAACCTGTTTGGTAGGGACAGGCGGGCTCTGTAGATAGGGACAGGAACCTGTTCGTTAGGGACAGGCGGGCACTGTAGATAGGGACAGGAACCTCTCTGGTAGGGAAAGGCAGGCTCTGTAGATAGGGACATGAACCTGTTTGGTAGGGACAGGCGGGCTCTGTAGATAGGGACAGGAACCTGTTCGTTAGGGACAGGCGGGCACTGTAGATAGGGACAGGAACCTCTCTGGTAGGGAAAGGCAGGCTCTGTAGATAGGGACATGAACCTGTTTGGTAGGGACAGGCGGGCTCTGTAGATAGGGACAGGAACCTGTTCGTTAGGGACAGGCGGGCACTGTAGATAGGGCCAGGAACCTCTCTGGCAGGGACAGGCAGGCTCTGTAGATAGGGACAGGAACCTGTTTGGTAGGGACAGGCAGGCTCTGGAAGAGATTCACCCTGACTGTTGGGATTGGGTAAAAGTCCAGGAGATTCTCTGAATCTTAGGCTCCAGATACCCTTTTTGAAGTTTTGTATGAAAGGAGAAAGCCAGAAGATCAAGGAAACAATTTCCTTTCAATTCTTAACGAAGGCATACTTCACCTACTCTCCTGAAGAGGTTATGGAGTCCTCATGCCTCTAACAGTCTTACAAATGTAACATAATTTTTTTTTTTAATTGGAGCTGTATGTTTCAATACCTGTTTATGTCATACAAAAGTTTTTGGTACAGAGAATGCATTAAATGCATGTCTTATTTGTATAAAGTCCACTCCATAATTATCAATTTTTATATCAACAGCCGCCCTATAGGATCTTATCTACTATACCTCTGCTGCATCTGTAAAGATAAACTCCAATGGACATAAAGGCTCAAAATTCACGCAAAGTTGTTTTCATTAATACTTCATCACCTGTATTTTTTAAGCAGTACGATTGCTAGATTTTGACCTGGCATCAGCCCCTTTACAGCAGAGCTCAGAGAGGGGGAGGGTAAATCAACAAAAGGAACCAATCAGGTGTTCTGCAGTACAAGGTGCATGCTGATAGGAGGATAGAGCAAAGTGATAGAGATCAAGACTGGATACACAGTAGACATTCTTTGGCAGGTAAAACAACCCCCTTATTGGTATTTTCTCTGTGTATTTACCTGTTAGCCCGGAGTTCATCTTTAACTGACATACTATTCATTAAAATTGACTGTATCAAGAAAAACTGTCAGTGCAGTGCATGAACTATTAAAAGAAGGTGGTACTTTGTATTGCCTATAAAAGTCTTCCCTGTGTCAACGTGTGTGTAATCTGGATGATGAATTTTATGCAAACCCCAGTTCTCTCTCCCCTTCCACCATTGTCCTGGATCCAGTGAATTTAGTCATATGCAGGATGTGTGTATAGAATAGCCTCCACTCTCTTAATGCATTTACCTGGTCCCATGTAGGGGGAAATATACATCATCTAATCATTTGAGCCCCTAGCAAAATGTTCCTTAGCGTACGGAAGCTGAAAGGAAATGTATTTGTTGTGTATTATGTGTGTAAGTATGTACAGTATGTACATGTGTGTTGGTGCGTATCAGACAGATCTATAAACCAGAATATGGCAGCTGCTGAAATAATTTTATACCTAGCGGAAATGTGCACGTGGAAGGGACAAGTCATAGTAAATAAAGAATCCAAAAATCCACCTGCACTACATCAGCTACTCAACACAGAGATTGTAGAAAACAAGAGATACTTTGCTGCACACACTTCAAATACTGTATATGCAGACATCCCAACTCTTCCGGACGTTCTGGGAGTCTCCCACTATAAGATTGCGGCTCCCGGACACCCACAGAGAAACATTTTCTCCCGGAAAGATTTACCCTGCTCTATCTAGCAGAGTAAACCTTTCCCTGCTATCTGTTTTTTTTTTACATCTGGGCAGCCGGCTGCCATCAGTCAGAGAAAGAAAAAAAAAAACAGCATAGGAATGAATAGCTAGGCTTTTATTGGCCATTTCAATTTGCAATAGCCAATAGCAGACTAGCTATTGCATCCGCCCACTGCTGCTGTCAATCAGCAGAGGTGGACCTGGAGTTTTCCTCCAGGTCCTCCTCTGCTGATTGACAGCAGCAGAGGGCAGGTGCAAAAGCCAGCTTGCTATTGGCTATTGCAAATTGAAATAGCAATCTAGCTATGCATTCCTGTGTTTTTGCTGTGGTTTTTTTTATTCTGATGGCAGCAGGTGTCAGACTACAAAAAAACCAAACAGCAGATAGCAAGGGAAGCATTAGCTTCTTTGCTATCTGCCATCATTTCAGGGGGGTGCTCCCCCCCCCTGCAGGTTGGGGGGGGGGAGCAGAGGGCACCTCCCTGAAATGAGAAGGACACCTCCCTGAAATGATTTTTTTTCAGGTTGGGATCCCTGTATATGGGAAACCACTGTGCCTTTGTCAAGTGTGGCCCTACTCTAATCCATGTGAACACCCAAACTGGGACATACATACAGTGTATAGATCAATGATGGGTAACTTGTGATATGGGGACTTCAGGTGCGGCCCTTGACATCAACAAAAGGCCACACATAATATTCACTGAATGTAATGCTACAGGAAGCTTCCAGAGACTACAGACATGCAAAAGGAGATGGTCAGAGACTGAGAGCATGCTACAAGAGATGGCCAGAAACTGGGGACATCCTTCAGGAGACGGTCATAAGCTGGAGACAAAATTTATAGGACTGCAAGATATAACTGTGTTTACAGCCCCTTTACAAATAAATGGTTGCACATTTGTGCTCCCTACAGCCCCCTTAAATATAACTTGTGCCACATTTGATATTGCTCATAATTTATTACAGAAACATACACTGAGTGGCCAGATTATTATGACCACCTGACATTTGTAGGCAAATTAGCTATAATCTCTTTCATGTCCCCAGCTCCCCATTATCTCGCCCTTCATGTCCCCAGCTTTCCGCTCCCGAACCCCATGTCACCTTCCTTCATGCTTCCAGCTCCCTGTGTCCCCCTTCGTGTCCGCAGCAGCTCTATGTGGCACTGGGCAGCAGCTCTGTGTGATGAGGGGGCGGGGATTATACCGCTCCCACTCATTGGCTGCTGCCCGGCTGGATGATGCTTCACGCTGCGCCCGGAACAAGGTGAGGGGAGCAGCGTGAAGCATGTAGGGCCCAGGACAGGAGGAAGAGGTCCCGGGAATGAAATATCCTGGTAATCAGCGGTCACCAGGGGCCCCTTCCTCCTGTCCTGGGCCCCCTCCAAGTGGCGGAACTCCAGGGCCCGGTCGCGGCCGCGACTTCTGCGACCCTGGTAGGTGCGCCACTGACCGCAGTATTGAAGGCAAAAGGTGGCCCAACGAAGTACTGATGGGGTGGTCATAATAATCTGGCCACTCAGTGTATAAAAAGAAAAGGGATGAACAGCACAGCAAAAAGTAAGTACAGGCAGCTTTAGGCTTCATTTTGTTTCAGTGGCGACAGGGTTGCTTTAAAGTAGAGCTCTGGGCAAAAATGTTCTTAGCCCTCGCAGTGGGGCTACCCCTGCACTGCAAGGGTTATGTGCTCGTTTTTGTCTAAGCGCTAAAAAAAGTTATACTAACCCGAACCTCGGAGCTGGTTGGCTGTCACAGTCCCTGAAACCTGTCTCCTCGTCCAATGCAGTGATGGTATGTCCCTTGGTGTCCTCACGTCCTATACACAGTGTATAGAACACAATGACTCAAGGATCCTTAGACTGCTACAACGGAGCTGGAAAGAGGCTGGAAGGACCGGTCTGAGAGTCACCTGCCTCCGAGGGTGAAATATAACTTTTTTTTTAGCACCTAGCCAAAAATGATCACTTAACCCTTGCAGTGCAGGCGTAGAACATTTTTGCCAGGAGTCCTGCTTTAATGCAACAGCACAATGGAACAAAATGCACACACTTACCCAAAACAGCTGAAGACCCCCAGTGTGTGTCTTCAGCTATTACATACAGATCTATACAAGCCGGTATGTGGCAGCCACTCAGGTCAGTTTACAGGAAGCATAATAGTGTACTTGGGAAGGAACATTTACAGCACTGGACAATACATACATTTACCATCACCCAGTCCAACTAACCAACTAACAAGCAAAGGTCTCTTCCTTTTTGGAATGCCTATACAGTATGTGTGTATACACATTCGCATACATATGTGTACACTCGTGTGTGTGTAGGTGTCTCTATCTATCCATCTATATACATATATACTGTGTGTGTGTGTGTGTTTGTATGTGTGTATATATATAGATATACTTATATAT